ATAGATTTGGATGAAAGAATAATATTATATAAAAAGAAAATTATATTATATTTAAACTAAACTCATGCTTTCCTACAAGTATCCATTATTAAATGGTCAAATTATACAATAGATATATGTACTTTAGTTAAATGTTGAATTTGTCTCTCTATCTTAATGTATTCAAATTGAATTTCTATACTTCATTTAATTATCGAATTTAGTCAAATTGTTAATAGTTTAAACTTTTTTTACTAAAATTAATGATGTGGCATTTTTTGTTTACTTGGTTGTTGACTTTACTAATGTGTAAAGTTCACGTGGTCAAAGATTATGACGTGGCAAAATTTTTTGACACATTTTCATTTTTTTATACCATCTTTTTTTAAATTCTACGACTCATTTCTATATTTTGTTTAAATGGGGAAATTAGTCATTCTACCTTAATATATGTTCAAATTTGATCTTTATATATCAATTAATTATCAAATTTAAGATTTGACCTAAAATAACATATAAAAAAATAAATTATTAATTCGATTGTGATTTTTTTTCATATTTAGATATTTTTTTTGAATTGTTAATTGGACTTAATTTGACAAATTAGGTTAATCTCAAATTAGATTATAAGCTCAACATAAACTAAAAAATAGATTATTAACAAAAAAAAGAAAACTAAATTTTTTGGGTATTTGAATTATTATATCTTTTCTTTATCTTTCATTTATTTATTTATTTATTTCATTTTTAAAATTTTTATTTTTAATATTTTTGAAATATAAAAATAAAAACTTTTAAAATGACAGAAACTTAAAAATTAGATCAAGAAACCCATAATCAAGAAACCCATATACACAATCAATAATAAAAATAATTGTAGACATTCTATTTTCTTTTTAAAATTCTTTCAATATTAAATGAGTTTCAAATTTCATCTTGACATTAGGTTCTAAAATCGTTTTTTGATCAATTGGGTTTAATTGTAAAATTAGATTTTAAGTTCAAATTTAAAGGCCCAAAGTATTTTATTTATTATTTATTTATTTTCATCGTTTAGTTAGTGAAAGTCAAAAAGTAAAAAAATAAAGAAAATTGAAAATTGAAAAAATAAAGAAAATATGAAAAGTTTTTGGAAAGATTGATTTAGAAAAATTTTGAGAATTCAACAGCAATCGATTTTTAGGTATTGACAACTTTTTGATTTTTTTGGATAAAGTTTTTTTACTATCATTGAATTTTTTAATCATTGGTTTCTAGAAATCTTATTAAAATATTAGTTTGTTGAATGAGATTTGCAAAGAAAAGTAAGAGAAGAATGAGGATGAGAGAGGAAAACAAAGAAAATTTTAAAAAAATAAATTTTTTTGTTTTTATAATGGTTGAAACTATGCCATTTTAAAAGATGGATCTGGTGTAACTCGCTTGTTTTCCCATACATTGACTCTATTTATGACTCGATCTATTTGCATTCAAAAGTTTTTTGTCTTTTATTTTAGTTTTATTTTACTTATTTTAGGTTAAATTTTAAATTCAATAATTAATTGATGTGTAAGGATCAAGTTTGAACATACATTAAGATAGAAAGACTAATTCCATAATTCAACAAAAGTATAAGGATGAGCCATACAATTTAAGAAAAGTTAACGTGAAAAAATGATGACATGTCAAAAAATTTTACCACGTCATCATTTTTTATCACGTAGACTTTACATTTCAGCAAAATCAAAAGTCGTGTAAGCAAAAATGCCACGTTAGAAAAGTTAAAATGTCATGTCATCAATTTTAACGGAAAAAGATTTAAACTATTAACAAATTGACTAAATTCAATAATTAAATGAAGTATAGAAATCTAATTTAAACATATTAAGATAAATGGACTAATTTCACTATTTGACTAAAATACTGATATTTCTTGCATAATTTGACCATTATTAAATATATAATGACACAAATTTTATTAATAAGTACCACCGTATATCATAAGTTACCAAAAGGTTACTAAAATTATGTTAAAAGGTAACCAAAATTTTATTAAAGATTATTAAAATTGTATCGACAGTTATCAAAATTATATCATACGTGACTAAAATTGTATTGAAAGTTACCAACATTTTATTAAAGGTTATTGAAATAAAATATTATATCAAAAATTATAAAATTTACTTATATTATATCAAAATCAAAATTAAATTATTAGTATTTATCATTGTTATCATAGTATTAAAAAAATTATTTATTAAAATGAATTTTTAGGAATAAGAATTACATGTGCATTACAAAAGTGCCAAACACTAATATTTTGAAAAGTATAAAGGGAATTTGAATTTGATTCCTTCTTGCAATTTTATGCTGAATTAATGTCAAACTACTTATTCAAATTACATTTCCAACCATGGTTAAAGTTTCAACTTCAAAACTTCTTGTGCTTCTAGTTTGATTATTCACTTAAGCTAAAAGTGCTAAGAATCTGATTCACAAGCTTTAAACATAATTCTAATATTAGTTGTTAAGATAACGATAGCTCTAACTCCAGTTTTTAAGTTAAAAAGTCCCTGATCCAATTAAATATCCAAGTCAATGGAAATATAATTAAACAATTAATCAACTTTTAGAAATCCGATTCAGAAGCTTTAAACATGGCTTTGACACCAGTTGTTAAAAGCATAATAACTCTAATTTTAGTTGCCTTACAAAAAAACCCTAACCCAATTAAATACCGAAGCCAACGGAAATATAATCAACCAACTAATCAATCCCCAAAAAATAAATACATGTAGACCGTTTCATTTTCCTCTAGTCTTATAAATTATTCTCAACCCAAATAAGCATATACCCATGCCGCTCACCTTACATATATGGACCTTCTTATTCTCCTTTGGTCCATTTAAATATACACACTCATAAGGACTTTCCAATCTCCTCAGTTTTATAGGATGTTTAATCTATAAAACTTTACAATTCTCTTATATCTTTTTTTCATTCCTAATCTTATAGAAATCGCCCACTATTTAGAATACTATTAACTCGCTTATTAATAATTTTTTTCTCTTAGAATTCTTCTCTTATAAATTTTTTTCTCCATCAAGCTACATCTAATCGATCTCAAAAAAATCTCAAACAAATTTTTTTTAAAATTTAAGTCATTATTCTAAACAATCTCCACCTTAACTAAAATTTTATCAAATAATCAAATTTCATATTAGACATACTTAACTTCATCGGTATGAAAGTCTTGCAATCATTTTCTTGTGTGTTTTCAAACTTCAAGTAAACCGATCTATAAAACATGAACTCGAATTTTTCCATTAAATCAAACTATTCTAGACTTGCTTTTTTCCATGTCTCAAACCTTTACTCTAATATCAATTTTTAGAGGTCTCATTTGTACCTACTTTGAACATGGTTTTATATTAGTTGTTAGGGATCATATCCACAAATTTCAAACATGACGATGTCCGTTGTTAGAATCACGATAGCTTTGATTCCAATTGTTAAGTGAAAAAGTTTTCAATCTAATTAAATATCCAAGTTAGCAAAAATATAATCAAACAATCAATCAATTATAAAAAAAATAATAATTTAAGTGGTTCAACCTAATTAGCCTACATCCATGAATGAGAAAAATTATTAATTTAGATAATTACAAATAAATCAAATCGTCAATAATCAATCACAAACAATCAATACCCATAAATTCTTTTGTTCTCCATTAATTTTATAAAGTATTTCAATTCAAATAAATATATACCAATATGACTCACCATACATATGTGGATCATCTTATTCTCTTAAGTTCATTCAAACATATATATCCATAAAATCTTTTTCAATCTTCTCTAATATTATAAGATATTTATCTCATAAAATTTTGTAACTCTCTTATATTTTTCTCTCATTGATAATCTTGTAAAAACTCCTACCAAGTTTATTAACTTACCTATAAAAATTTATTTCCTTCTTAAAATTCTTTTTTTATAAATTTTCTTCTTCTGACAATCTACGTCTAACCAATCTAAAAAAATCTTAAACAACAAATCTCGAGAATTGAGCCAGTTTTCTCGAAAAAAAAGGAGCATATAAGACTCTTACTATGAAAGAAAAAGAGGATTGAATTTGACTATGAACAAATACCTCATACATTAACTGAAAATACTTGAAAAATGGGTACCCAAAAATTTAGCAATGAATTTCTTAGTTTATCTAACATGTAACTAACCTTCATAAGCCAGAAGCCTTAGGACCATCCACATAAATGATTATTAAAAACTCATTAGAATTTCAAGCTCAAATAACTTAAATGACTAATAAAATTTGTAATGAGTTTTTATAGCCGACCTAAATAGCTACTGATAATCAAACTACCTTTTCTTCGCTACAAGGCTTAATCAAACTTCCAAGCTGTCAAAGCACCTAATCTAAGCGTTACTTTTGAGGAAGTTTCTTTGTAGCACTTGTTCTAGTTTGGGCCTTCTTTTTTCTTTCTTCTCCATGTTCTTTTAAGATCAAGCAGCAATGTTATTTCTTCACCCATTTTCCAAGAATAAGGCTTCGACTATCTCTTCTCCAGGCTAATTTACTGTGATAAGCATTGTTTGGAGATCATGTTTTGGGTGCTTGGTTAGTTTTCCATGCTTTTTGGATTTGTTATAAACTTCTGCAGAATTTTTCCTAATCCCAAGAACAAAGAATTTTCAAATCCAAGCCATCTTCAAATCCAAGCCAGCCCTTTCGATCCCCTATATTGGATCCAAATTAGCACTGTTGCTGATAGGCGGTTTTACAAATGATACCAAATATTGCATGGGATTATCGTGTCAGAGAATATATATAAATATATACATATATATATTTATATATATATATATATGAAAATTGCATTTATCCATCCAGCTGAAAAGTTTTGCGCATCAGGTTTCAGAGCTAAGAAGTCATTTTCTTCTAGTGAAAAAAAAAAAAAAAAACAGTGGTAGTCATGTATATTTAACCATTAAATATGTAAAAAATGATTTAAAATGGGATGAACTAATGGACTAGCAAGCATTTATTTCATATCTTTTATCAATGGATAAAAATTCAGGTGAACCAGGTGTCATAAGTTATAAATAAGAACAAAATTTAATAACCTAAGAAAAGAGCACAAATCAGAGGACTGAAAATGTGCAATGACACCAAATCTAAAGTAAAGATTTCATCCCACCCATACCGTTTGATCCAGAATTCAGATTCAGAATCAGAAAAAGCCCTTTCAGGAATACACCAGACAGCATTTGAATGAAAAAGGATTTTATGTAGCATCTGGACGGTTGAACCTGCAACATGCATTAGCATTGATTGAAATCAGTTTTACTAGTTTGTCCACAAAAGATCTTCAGTTGCAGATAGCACCTTGGTTGATTAACAATCAGCTTTTCGATGCTAACCACGAAACCGGCAAAGGACCTACTAACAGACTCTAGCAAACCATTTTGATAACAACATCAAATAGATTTACACAAATCAATTCTTATTCTAAATGGATGATTATGCACACCTAGATTCCTAGAAGTGGATGGGCCGAATATCAACCAAATTCTCAGCAAACTTGAACCATACGGTTATGTGTCTGACAGACCATCCAACAGAAAGCACTAACAAGCTTTTCTCGATGAAACTCAAAACCACCAAAATTTTACTTCCTATAAACTAGTTCAATGCAGCAGTGTCTGCATATCACTTGAGATGAAAAACAAATATTTTCTGTTACATTAACTAGCAATAAAGATCACAAGAGCTCCAGATCTTAAATATTATGATTAAACATTGTGTTCAAAGATCTTAAAATTTAAGCATTGTTTCAGTGTCCAAGCTTCCTCTAAGACTCATCCATCATTGTTCTTCAAAATTTTCCTGACAGGTCAAGGCAGGAAATTGCAATTACTACCACACATACAAGACAAGCTCCATGCGTGTTGACTATGATAAAAATCATCCTCCGATAAAAAGTATGAAGCTGGTGCACCGAGTCTAAATCAACTATACTGCCACAATTGTGATTGCATATAAATTAGAGTGACGGGTAGTATGCACAATTACAGCAGCCACTTCCACTCAATTGAAAGAAGAGAATTGCATTTGAAGTTGTTTTCAGCAACTAACAGAGCATAAATTCAAAACCATTACTCCAAACATGTAACAGGTACACCAAAAGTCAAAGAAACATAAGTACATAAACTTTAGTATTCCTATATAATCTAAAACCATTCATCCAAAATTAGAGCACTTAAATGGTAGTAAAAACTTCATCAATTACAGTTGGTACATCACATGCCAGCTTAATGATAGGATTAAGTTCTGTAGCATGGCATGGGAAAAATTAACCTTATGAGAGCAACATGTGGTCCTTAAACTCCACAAAATAGAATAGAGTGAAAATAATGATGACAATAATGCTAGGAAATTACATCGCTTTGTTCATAATGACAATAATTTATAACACTAACAAATATATCACCTGGTAGCAGCTTTGTTGTTCAGTAAATAACCGATGGAATCGTCCAGCTATGCATTCTGACAGCAGTTTATGTCTCTCTTATGAGTCATAGATGTGAAATAAAAAAAATTCAACTATGGTTCACATCATCCTACTCTTGCATATTTCTGCAAATTTCCAACAATATCTTTAGACAGGCATGACTATAGTACCCATAAATGAAACAATATCTAAGAAGAGCCTTTCTTGCCCCACGTATTCCATTACAATGTATTGACAAATGTCAATAATAATCTCTTACAAGCAAAACAGTGTCTATCCAAAATTAGGCAAAAATTCCAAGTTAAAAGGCCAAATACTGAAGGCCAGTACAAAAAACTGAGTTATCAGAATACATACAAAATACCACGTTGATAAAACACCAGACTTGCTGAAGTAAAAACTGTCCACAGAAGTATGATCCACCAAGCCATCAACAAAGCCACTTCTTTAACAAAAGCAGAACAAGGCAGTAAACCACAAGCCAAGTTGTATTTGTCTAATGAGTTACTGTCAATCTGAGATAAGCCAAGAAAGAGAAGTACCAATACTGGTGGTGCAAAGAATTGCAAAACTGCAAGACATAAGTAGTGATTGTGCAAAAAAACCTTTGCACGACTAAAATCCAAATCTGGGACCTTGCTGGCATGTAACCTTTGATACCAAGACAAAACTGCTTCATTCAAAAACATCTGCAAGTTTGAACGTAAAGCCACAATTTGCAGGACTCCGGAAAGCAGTAAGCAGAAAACCCTAAGCCTGGTAAACTCCAAATTTGAAAAACCCACATTTCCAACCAACTTCTCAGCAGCTCCTCTGCCATCACAACTATTCTTGTTAACAAGAATTTCAGTTAATGGACTAATCCAAAGTAAAGCTGTGAACATAGTTAACAAATAATTGGCAAATAAAATCATTCTAGCAAACCATCCACAAGAAATTATGGACAAATTACATCTAAGCTGATCAGTCCCAAGCCAAAAGGACCGTGCATTCTTCCCGGCAGGCATATACAAAAAACCAGCAAGGAATCCCATTAAAACAGAAACAAAAATCCTCCAAGACACTTCAAGTGAATCGAAATGGAAATCAAAAACCGCTGGTCCAATTTCAGAACAAATCATAATCCCTATAAGAAAACCCACAACGCCTAAAATTGCACTAAATTGCTTCTCCGACCTCTTAGAAGCAGATTTCTCAAACGATATCTTTGCAAGTGCTAAAAAAACTTTGGTCAAACCAATAAATCCAAAAACAACCGGAATTAAATTCCCATTTGCCAAATTCCCAGAACCCTCAGACTTACCTAAATACTTGTAAAGCAACAAACAGGAAATACCCACACAGGAAAAAACAAAAGAACTATGATACTCATTGAAAAAAAGCCTCGTTTGAAGATGACCCTCGTCGAGTTTCAGCCTGAAGATCTGGGCATTGTTTTCATCGAACTCAAACTTCTCTTTAGATTTGTTCCTCTTCTTGAGCTCCGCGGTGGTCCTTGATGACAAAGATTGATAACCATCCAGTCCAGGACCTGAATCTGAGCTGGAAGGTCTACGAATAGCAGCTCTAACACCAGAGGAGGCGTTGTTGCCGTGGCCAATGTTTTCAGGGTGGATGTAAGTGTGGAGACCTTGGAGAAACAAAATTGGGATTTTAAGGAATGTGAGGATTAGAGTGAGTGACAAAGAGAGTAAGGTTTGGAATATAAGATTCTTGTAAACTTGAACGAACGGCAACATTGTTTTTTGCTCCAACAAATTTCGGGCGTTGAGAGAGATGGTTGAGAGATATCGATGGTTTTGTTTAGTTTTAGAAACTTTGGAGTATGTTTTACGTTAATAGACTTACAGAAGTTTTGCAGTGTGGACTTTGGGTCGTTGGTTATTTCCTTGTTTTGTCGGCTTTGACTTCAATGGAACCAAACTGATGTAGGTCCTGTCCATGTTGTAAGACGTTCGAAGTGAAATGCTCGCATCGGTTCGAAAGTGAACATTAAAATCTTTTCTGTATCTTTTATAATTCGAACTTTTAGTTTGATTTATTAATATAATTTTTAAAATTTTAAAAAATTTTAAACAATAAAAGAGAAAATAAGAGAATAAAAATTCTCTTCTCCCGAAAAAAAAGTGAAATTTTTAAATAATTTATCCTCATTTAATTGCATATTTAGATAATATTATCCTTTCTAGTTTTTTAAAATTATAAAACAAATGTGATTTGTGTTATTTATAATTTCAACAATTACTATATTTTTAAAATAAAAAATATAGTGATTGTTAAAATTATATTTTTAAAATTTTAGAGTTTTAACAAAAATTACAATTTTAAAATAAAAAACATAATAGATGTTAAAATTTTATTTTTAAAATTTAAAATTTTAACAAAAACTAAATTTTTAAGATAAAAAAAATAGATGTTAAAAGTATATTTACAAAATTTTAAAATTTTAAAAAAATCACATATTTAAGATAAAAATATAGTAAATGTTAAAATTATATTTTTGAAATTATAAAATTTTAACAAAGATCATATTTTAAAACAAAAAATAATAAATGATAAAAATAATCACTTTTTAAGATAAAAATATAACAAATGTTGAAGTTATATTTTTAAAATTTTGAAATTTTAACAAAAATAGCTTTTTTAATGTATCACTTCATTTTATTCAAAATGATTCTAGTTTATTTGATTTTTGTGCTTGATTTAAGTATTTTAGTTAGGACTACTTTAAACGTTCCAATTGGACTGAGGTCAGTCATCTTTGGTTCATTTTGCATATGGCCATAAGTTCAATTCAGTCCAAATTTAAATCGATTCAAAATTCAATCACTTAGGCTTAAAAAGTCCAGCCCAAAGTCTAAAGTTAAAATCCAGATCCATTTCTAAAGGGCCATGTTAAAATATATTAATTAGAATTTAATTATTTAATTAATCCAAAAAAAGAGAAGGGCAAAGGGAAAGGATCCGCTGCCATCGTAGCAGGCTTCCCCTTAGTTTCTCGTGTCCCATTATCTCTTCCCCAAACTGTTAGCCATTTTCAGCTCTTCAATTTTCCCCTCATTTTACCCCACTGACTCTTAACACTTACTGAAAGGCATCCCAAAAAGTCAGCAGCCCCATCCCCAAAGCCCTTCACTTTCACCTTCTCCCAGATTCAGCAAGCTACAGAGCCCCAGATGCGACATCATCTTGCTGCAGCCCTGCAAAGATTCCAATTCTCATGTCTCGTATAAATTGTGGTGCTACAAGAGCCAAACTTTTTTTCACAACGGAAGAGAAGGGGAAGCCAATTTTCACAGAAGAAAAATCCCAGCACTTTCACAAACAAAATCAAGAGAATTCCTGGTTCTACTCCCTGCTCTTGGAGAGCACAAAATTCACCATCAATACATAGCTTCATCACCCACAACCCTCAACCTGAAAACCATCGAGAACAACTCTCATTACCACCACTACCCCGTACACCACTGAAATCCCACTTGCAAACTGTCAACTTCTACAGAAAGCATCCCGTTCCTCACCAAGAACCCCACAACCACCGGCAACCACCGTCAGACACCCAAGCAAGCCGAAACCACCTACCCACCAGAACCAACCCTCATCACAATCATCATCATACAAAAAAAAAAAAAATCCCTTGTTAAGATCCGAACTTCCACCCAATACCATCAAGAACCATCCTCAGCCAGCCTAACCGAAAACCATTTCCACATTTCCCACCGCCAGCCACCACCAAACACCAGCCTACTGCCATCATTGCCAACTACAATGAAAGACTATACCCAAAAGCCCACTAACAACATATAACCATCCCCGCCGCCCACTGCCGAGAACCCAGCACCCGAATTAGACCCCAAACCAAAAAAAAAAAAAAAATTCCTTTCTTCTTCCATTAAAATCACAACAGAAAAACTAAAAGCAAGGAACCACACAATAAAATGTCAATTCTCACAATCAAGCAAGGAACCACACAATAAACATCATTCACACAATAGCAAAAAAGAAAAAAAATCAAAAAATCAAAACATAAACACGAAAGAAGGGTGAGCTCGGTTTCAGTTAGTCTTCATAGGATTTTAGGTGTGGTCTCATTTTAGTGTAGAAAATAGGAAAGAGTAGGGGAAGGTCAATTCTGGCAGTAGTGGCGGAAGAGGTGGACGACGGCAGCTAGGGGTATTTAAAGTTTCGGTGGGATTTTTTTTTGCTCCTAAATCGATGGAAATAAGGACCTAAGGAAGAGGAAAACCATACAGAAAACAGAATGCGTTTGGTGTGGCGGAGATCGGTCTTTTTAGGATATTTGCCGAGGTTTTGAGTGTAGATCTAGTGCTTTAGGGGCCAATTTAGGAAAATCTGAGCCTAAGACGGCTACAAGGAGGTCGAGACGAAGCCATAAGGAAAATCTGGGTCGTAAAGGAGATAGGCCGGTCGTGGTGGACTGCAGCAGCAGTACGCCAGAATCTGGGGTTTGGGGAGGAGATTTGAGTTTTTTGAAGGAGATATGAATTTTTTTTTTTCAAAGAGAGGAAGGTGTGAGTTGGGAGAAAAAAAAAAAGAATATATTTTATAGAGTTCAAAAAAAAAAAAAAAAAAAAGAAGAAAGAACCCAAGTGGGTCAACCCGACCCGACCTGACTGCTGATACTGCAACCCATCAGACCCGACCTAAATTGGCAGACTGACCAGATTACTGTTGGATCCAGCCCAAGTCAGTTTTGGCCCAGCAACTTGGTTGTTTAGGTTTAAGTGGACTCTTTGCTTGGGTTTCAACGATAACATTTTGTTGGATATAATTTTTTTTGCTTTAATCATTTTATTATGCGTTTATTCATATATTTATTTTTCATTTGCATGTATACCATGCAAAAAATATACTTGCGAAAATAAAAATTGTAAATATTTGGTGTTACAATGTTTTTATTGTCATGAAATGCTTGCCAATAGAATGACCATTTTTTGAAATAAAAAATAAAGTAAAATATTCAAGTAAAAATATGATTTTGAAGACCATACTTAGATATTGGAAGAGATGTAAAAGATTATTTTTACTAAAAAATATTACTTGTATCTAAAAGAATTATTATAATATTTTTTTAAAAAATAATTAATTAATTTTCTTAAATTTCATATAAATATTGTATAATTAAAAGAAATTTTTTTGACACAAAAGATTATCATTTTTATAACTAAATATTCTTTGAGAGGAAAAATAAAAGGATGATAAAAAAAAAAAGTTAAAAGCTTGCAAGATGAGAAATAAAATCGATCATCTGCATCATTTTTTTTTATTTGCATAATTTATTCATTTATATTATTTGTGCGTTTATCTCAAGTTGTAATACATATATTTTATTTTTTTATAATAAAAGTGAGATGAAAAGTAATAATTTTTTTTAAAAAAGATATTTTTAGAAAAAATAAGATAATATTTTAAGTAAAAATAATTTTAAAAATCTTGCCTAAATATTGGAAGAAATTCAAATGTTTATTTTTATCAAGAAATGTTATTTTTATTTTAAAAGATAACTATAAGATTTTTTTTAAAACAAATGATTAATTTTTCTAAATTTTACCTTAGTATTAGGGAATTGAGAGAATTTTTCAACATTAAAAAATTTTATTTTATTTCTAAATATTTTATAAGAGAAATAATGATAAAAAATATAGAAAAAAGATTTGAAAAGAATAGAATAAATTGATCATGGGTATTATTTGATTTTTGTTTGCATCATCTATTTTATATTGCATCATATGCATGGTATTTGATGATAATAAAATTGAAGTGATGAAATACAATTTCAAAAATTAATTTTTAGAAATAAAAAAACTAACATTCCTCGATAAAAAATTTTTTTGAGACCTTTTCTAAGTATTAGAGATTTTTTAATAATTATTCTTTATAAAAAAATATTATGTCAAATTTTAAGGATTATTTTTAGAATTTCAAACGGAGAAAAATTTTTCAATATTTTGCCTAGATAGGAAATTCAAAATTTTTTTAAAACTAAAGATTTTTATTTTATTGCCAAATAAAAGGTTTTAAAAAAGATTTTGCTAAAACAAATAAAGTTAAGAGGATTATTTTAAATATTAAAATTAAAACCATTTTTTATCAATACAAAAGATAGCATGTGATCAATTGATACTGTTTTTAAAATAAATGTTGTGGGTTACTAATCCTTTATCATATTTAACTGTATTCTCAAATTCAAATTTGTTTTCGCAGACTAAACTAAAAATTAATTTTTTTAATTAATTTTAATTAATTTTAAAATTTTATTAAGATAAGTTTTTAGGTGACCATTCACACTTAACAAAAAAATTAGTGGTAACTCCTCTGTTTTAGTTTTAAAATTTTATTTAATGGTCTCGAAACTGTTTATGACATTAAAATAAAAAAAAATAATGGATGTTGAAAAGTAATCTCACTTTTAAGATAAAAATGTAATGGATATTAAAACTTTAATTTCAAAATTCAGAAATTTTAGCAAAGAAAATGTTTTTAAAATAAAAAACGTAGTGGTTGTTGAAATTTTATTTTCGAAATTCTAGAGCTTTAATAAAAATTACATTTTTAAGATAAAAAAGTAATCTTTATTGCTACTTATAACAAAATTAAACTAAAACATAAAATATATATACTTAATATTATTATATACAAAATATAAAATACATTTACTTATTATTATTACATATAAAATTTATTTTAAGGGTTGAAACCCCTGGGATGAGGGTATCGCCCTCTTCCAACCCCTACGTCAATCTTATCGTAAAAGTCAATTCGCATATTTTCTTTGCATAAAGGTAATCAACATAAAGATATAATTAGAATTGCAAAATTATCTTTGTTGAACATATTAAAAAAAAATTTCTTTAATTTCAATGAAAATGATGTGTTAT